TAAATCCTCATGCAACTTGCTATCCTTTTCACATATGATCGCTTGAGAGATGCTATCTCCTGCTATCTGTTTTTCGTTTATCCACACCAATAACAGTCTCTCAACATCTCTATCACTTGCGGTTGCTGTTTCATAATCACAGTTGCACCTTTTGCAAGAACAGCTTCCTTGATTGCCGTTTTCTTGGCCACAATAGTAGCGATGGTTGATTGGGGTTTTGTGTACAACCTGGCCAGCTCGGAGACACGCACTCCACTTTCATACTTAGCAATGATCTCTCTCTTCATATCCATAGTAATTCTCGCCCTTTTTCCTGTAGGGTTGGCACTAGAAGCTTTCTTGGGGCCCATGGTGACTTACTTTGCAGGTGCAATCACTAAAAAGGCTGTGATAATATGAAATGTTCCGATTGTATGCTTTGAAGCGACCGCGGTGGCTGGCTTGTAAACACTGGCACCCACGGAACAAGTGAGGTGGGCTCAGGCCGCACGTGGACGCGCCTCGAACGAATCGCGTTGAGTGAGTTTTTTAGCGCTAGCCGAGGCAAAATTTTTGCTTTAAAATGTATCGCTAGGCGGATTTAACATTATGCGATGCGTTCGTTAGGCGAGGGTCCACTGTACTGACGATGAATAGGAAATGAATGAAATCCCAAAAGAACAGTATGAGTCGGTTTTCAGCATCCACTAAATGACAGCAAGGTAGACAATACAGAAACATTTTTCACTCCAACAGAAGGCCGCGCAGACCAACTACAGTGAACCCTGAATTACATAATTAATCCATTCAAGAGAGAGTGACTTATCCCGAATCTGACTTATTTCAAATTAATTTTCCCTGTAAGAAATAATGGAAATCCAATTAATCCAATTCAGACGCCCAAAAGTATTAAAAAAATGTTTTCTACTTGAAATATACATTTACCTTCACAGAAAACAATGATACATGAAAAATAAAACAATAATAACATCACACTTACCTTTATTGAAGACATGGTGATGTATGGAAGATGGGAGGAGGGAAGAGGATGGAGGAGTTTACAATTGTTTGAAAGGGGAATCCCCTTCCATAAAGACTTCAGGTACCATGTCCTTATCCTAGGTTATTTCCTTTCTTTGTTTTTTAATGCCACAAGGACCAACTTGAGTCGCTGGACCCGTCGCTCAAAAAAGTGTTTCAGAAGTACAGAGTTTCGGCAGCCTCGACTTTCGTGAAATTCGACCTTCGGCGAGTTTTTTTGGCAAAATTTGGCCAAGAGTTTCGTGATTAGACTCGTGTTTTGGCGACCGTCCAGTACCCGTCCACCCGTCACCGCGCACACCAAGCCAGTCTCCCACGCCATTCACGCTCAGTGTGCCATTGTTTACCAACACGTGACCATCACCCCGTGGGTTCATACAATACATTTCATAATAATCCATTGTTTTTTGTGCTTGCTACTGCTAAATAAGTCATCATGGACCCAAGGAAAGGTAGTGCAAGCCCTTTGGTAAATAAAGTGAGGAACACGATCCAGGGAGATTTTGAAGGGTTTGAGGCAGACCCTGTCCCTGCTGACCTTCTGCCTGTTGTGGAAGGTGTTGTGGCATTGGGCAAGTCCATGGGGTTGGAGGTGAGTGACAGGGATGTGGAAGAGTTGGTGGAGGACCACAGGGAAGAGCTAACCACTGACGAACTGCAAGAGCTTCAACTGGAACAGCATCAGGCCACAGCCGAGGAACTTGCTCCAGAGGAGAAGGAAAAGAGAGTGAAGGAGGTTCCTTCTTCAGTGATTAAGGACATGTGTGGAATGTGGAATGAGTTGCAAAGTTTTGTTGAAAAGTATCACCCTGACCAAGCTGAAACAAGCCATATCTGCAACATGTACAATGACAGTGTTGTGTCCCACTTCAGGGAAATCTTAAAGAAACACCAGAAAAAGACCTCTCTGGACAGATATTTTGTGCGACAGGGGTCCAGTGACTCTCAAGTTGTTCCCAGTGGCATTAAAAGAAGAAGGGAAGTAACCCCAGATAAGGACTTGCTACCTAAAGTCCTAATGGAAGGAGATTCTCCTTCCAAACAATAGTGTACACCTTCCTCCTATCCCCTCCTCCCATATTCCATCCACCCAGAAGTCTTCAGTAAAGGTATGTGTAATGTTATTATTATTTTTTATATGCATGTACTTGATTTCTCATTGATTTCAGTATATAAATCTTTATTTAATTTGAAAAAAAAAAACAATTTTATTTTAATATTTTTGGGTGTCTGGAACGAATTAATTTTATTTCCGTTATTTCTTATGGGGAAAATGGTTTCAAGTTTCGTGAATTTCGACTTTCGGCAGGCTCTCTGAAACGGATTAATCACGAAACTCGGGGGTCCATTGTATTTTGTCGTGCCTGGAATTCCACTGGAATGGATTAATTCCATCTCAATTTAAATGAGGAAAATTGACTCTGCAAGTGAGCAAATCCAGATGCAAGCAAGGTCACAGAATGGATTAAACTCATTATTATTATAATCATAAAAAAGAAGCACTAAACCCACAAGGGTTGTGAATAGCTATAGCTAGAGTGAAGGCATACAAAAGGAATATTTTTCTACAGTTAAGTAACTGGTGTTTGACTAGAGAAAACGTAATTCTTCTGACACTCCTACAAACCGCTTGGTAAACGAATCTCATATTTATGTCAATTTTTACACTGTGGGTGTATGTATCATTTTTATATGTTATGTAGCATGTTTATTATATAATTTTGAAAAAAATATCATAGATGGATTAATGGAAATGTCTATGTTAACGTAATATACGATATTTAACCCTTTCAGGGTCCGTGCCGTAGATCTACGGCTTTACGTTCAGGGTCCAAACCGCAAATCTACGCCATGAGCTCAGCTCACTCTGATAAGCTGTGAGTGGTAAATTTGGGCCTTGTTATGAGAGAATGCATCTATGTGGTATGTGTGCACCACATAAAACAAATCCTACGGCACACAGTGTATAATGGGAGAAAAAAACTGAGACCGTGATTTTTGAATAAAACCGGATTTGCAGTGATTTTTCGTATGTTTTTCATAGTTGTATTTGCGATTTCTTGGTCTCATTTGATAGAATGGCAGACTTGTTAGAGAAATAGAGATGATTTTGATTGGTTTTAGCACTGAAAATGGCTTGAAACTGAGCTCAAAGTAGCGGAAATGTTAAATTTTTGCTGATGTTCAAGAGTAAACAAACGACCTCACACATCTAATACACGTCAGCTGGTGGGTCTAATATACATTCACAAATGTGGCGATGATATTTATACAATTATTACAATATTGCGTAACAGTAAATCTTCTATTTTTTGGTTTGAATAAAAATTCATTATGTGAATAAAAAATCAAAATGGAATTCATTTGTAAAGTCTCAAAACATAACTAATGAACAGAGGAAATGTTAGTTTAGTGCCAGGCATACCTACTTTGTTTATTCTGGACCCTATTTTGAAATTGGAATATTTTGAACTTTGTGTTAAATTGGCCAAATTACCAATTTCTGATCAGTTTATTTTGTAGTTGAAACAGTTGACTTGGCGATTTCTTGTGCTCATTCGATAGAATAGAAGTAATACTAGTGAAATAGCTAAGAATTTGGTCGATTGGAATAATGTAATTGGCCTAAAATGGGAGTTAAAATCGGCAAAATCACCGATTCGTAAATATCGCTGACTCATCAAAATTCGCGAGAGCATAATTTCGTCAGTTTTCCATCAAATTTCATACTTTCTGTTTTATTACCTTCAGAAAAAGATTCTCTACCATTTCATAAGAAAAAATAACAAAAATTTTTTTTCGAAAATTCTTGGACCCTGGTGCATACTTTGAAATTTGGCCTCTGGACCTTGAAAGGGTTAATGCACCCAAGAGATCATTATATGGCATCAAGTAGAGAGACTCTTAGTAATTTTAATGTGTACCTGCATGCCAACACAGTATGTAAGTATATTTAGGTACAAGTACACATAAGTAAAATTATCAGAGTACATATAAAATATGCAATAACTTTAAAACACTTGTAATTTTGGAAAAGTTGCAGACATAATACAGAGGGGTGCTCACGGAGAATGCAAACAAACTGGGTGGAGCGTGCCATATTAGAAATACCACTCGCCATATAACAAGTTTTGGTCATAATTTGAAATCGCTGTATTAGTGGAACACTGTAAGGCAAAATGCCGTACAGCGGGGCCCGACTGTACCTGGAAAGTACTCGATGGCCTGGTCCTAACTCTGCACACTGCCATAACAACATACTGGAGTGAGAGATATGGGGGGAAGTGCAAAATAAACCCAGTGAGGAGCAGGGGTGTGGTGGGGACAATAAAGTAACACTGTATCAATATTCATGACCCTAGACTGTTCAACATCTTACCAGGAGATATCAGAAATATGGCTGGAACAAGTGTAGATGCCTTCAAGAGAAAACTGGACAAGTATCTTCACCAGGGCTCTGGTGGCCTGGTGGTTAACGCTCTCGCTTCACACGGTGAGGGCCTGGGTTCGATTCCCTGCCAGAGTAGAAACATTGGACGAGTTTCTTTCCACCTGTTGTCTATGTTCCCCATCAGTAAAATGGGTACCTGGGTGTTAGTCGACTGGTGTGGGTCGCATCCTGGGACACTGACCTAAGGAGGCCTGGTCACAGACCGGGCCGCGGGGGCGTTGACCCCCGGAACTCTCTCCAGATCTCCAGATAAACTCCAGGTACCAGATCAACCAGGCTGTGATGGATATGTGGGGCAGCAGGCCTCCAGCAGCAACAGCCTGGTTGACCAGGCTAGCACCAGATGAGCCTGGCCCATGGCTGGGCTCCAGGAGTAGTAAAACTCTCAGAACTCATTAAAGGTATATCATAGGTAAGGTGTATCCAGTTGACAGGTATAAATCCCACATGCCAGGTGTAAATACCACTAGACAGGTGTAAACCATTCTTATTTTGCAGTTGACAGGTGTAAACCAATCTTATCTTGCAGTTGACAGCAAAGAGTGAGGTTGACAGTACTGTCATCACAGGCCAAGAGGCCTTGGAAGATGAGAAGAAATTTTTCGAAGATATTGACGAGGCAACTCGGAAGACCTTAGAGAGAGAACACCGACACCACAACTACAAGGTTACAGCTGGTCAGGTGAGTTACCTGTCAGGAGGTCGTGTGACCTTTATGAGGCAACTTGCAAGATCTTAGGGAACACCAACACCACAACTACAAGGTCACAGCTGGTCAGGTGAGTGACTTTTAGGTCATGTGACCTGTATGAGGTCACAGCTGGTCAAGTAAGTGATCTCTTTGTCACAGCTGGTCATGTGACCTGTAGATCACAGCTGGTCATAACCTGTAGGTCACAGCTAGTCATAAAAATCTTCGAAAGAGTGATATACCTTACCGTTACCTTTGATATACCTTTGAAGAGTTTCAAGAGTTTCTCTACTCTCTGAGCCCGGCCATGGGCCAGGCTCATCTGGAGACAGCAGATTACAAATTTCATGGACCAGCACAGCCAGCATAACCTGAACCAGCATGATTTTAGAGCAGGACAATTGTGTTTGTCACAGCTGCTGAATCGTTATGACAGAATTACTGAGGCGTTGGAAGACAACCAAAATGCAGATGTGATTTACACAGATTTTCCCAAGGCATTTGACAAGTGCAATCATGGAGTGATAGCACACAAAATGAAGGCCATGGGCATTACAGGGAAGGTAGGCAGATGGATTTTTGGGTTCCTAACACATAGGGCACAGAAAGCAGTAGTAGTAAACAGAGCAAAATCCAGCATCAGTGAGGTAAAAAGCTCAGTTCCCCAAGGTACTGTCCTCACACCTCTGCTGTTTCTCATCCTCATAGCAGAGATAGATAAAAACACCCATCACACTTTTGTATCATTCGCAGATGACACTAAAGCATGAAAGTCACTACGGTAGAGGACACTGAAAAATTACAGGAAGACACAAGCAGGGTTTTTCCAGTGGGCAGTGGAGAACAACATGATGTTCAATGGTAATAAGTTCCAGCTCCTTAAATATGGAAAGAATGAAGAACTCAAAAGCAACACTGTGTACAAAACTTAAGAGTGTTACCAAATAGAACGAAAGGAACACATAAAAGACCTGGAAATAATTATGTCAGCTGACCTTTCTTTTAAAAACATAATAGGACAAAGATCATGACAGCCAGGAGGATGACAGGGTGGGTATTGAGAACTTTCAAAATAAGGGAAATAATGCCAATGGTGACACCCTTCAAATCGCTAGTACTCCCTCATTTAGAATATTGCTCAGTGCTGACAGCCCCGTTCAAAGCAGGAGAAACATCAGAGCTGGAACAAATACAGTGATTGTTTATGGTTCACTTTGAGCTAGTAAAGCACCTAAATTATTGTACTCATTGGAGTGGAGGAGAGAGAGATACATCATGATATATACCTGGAGGGTACTCGAGGACCTGGTCCCAAATCTGCACACTGCCATAACAACATACTGGAGCGAGAGAGATGGGAGGAAGTGCAAGATACACCCAGTGAGGAGCAGGGGTGTGGTGAGGACAATAAGGGAACACTGTATCAACATCCAGAGTCCCAGACTATTCAACATCTTACCAGAAGATATCAGAAACATGGCTGGAACAAACGTAGAAGCCTTCAAGAGGAAACTGGACAAGTATCTTCACCAGGTGCCAGATCAAGCAGGCTGTGATGGATATGTGGGGCAGCAGGCTTCAGCAGCAACAGCTTGGTTGACCAGGCTCACACCAGACGAGCCTGACCCATGGCCGGGATCCAAGAGTAGCGAGACTCTCAAAACTCTTCAAAGGTATATCAAAGGTATATGATCTGTAGGTCACAGCTGGTCAAGTGACTTGTAGGTTACAGCTGGTCATGCGACCTGTATGAGGTCACAGCTGGTCAAGTGACCTGTATGAGGTCACATCTGCTCAGGTAAGTCATCTGTATAAGGTCACAGCTAGTCAAGTGACCTGTATGAGATCAGCTGGTCAAATAACCTATATAAGGTCATAGCTGGTCAAACGACCTATATAAGGTCATAGCTGGTCAAATGACCTGTATGAGGTCACAGCTGGTCATGTAAGTCACCTGTATGAGGCCACAGTTGGTCAGGTGACCTGTGAGGTCATGGCTGGTCAAGTGGCCTGTACAAGGTCACAGCTGGTCAAGTGACATGTAAAAGGCCACAGCTGGTCCAGTGACCTTTACAAGACTACAGCTGGTCAGATAAATGACCTGTATGAGGTCACAGTTGGTCATCTGACCTGTATAAGGCCACAGCTGGTTAGGTAAGCGACCTGTATGAGGCTACAGCTTGTCGGGTAAGTGACCATTATGAGGCCACTGCTAGTCAAGTAAATAACCTTTAATTACAAGGTCACACTTTCTTTGTATTGATGTTCTCAGGTAACTTGTCATCCAGGACCCTCGACTAACAGTCTGTCGTGTACAGTAACGTAGTTAATGTTACACTTACTGTCTGTAGCACTGTTATGCTGTAAAACTGTAATACAGTTGCACTGTAGCACTGCTTAGTGGAAAACGAGACACAGATGCAGTATACTGTGATCTTTTATTGACAATGTTTGGCCCACACAGTGAACTTTATCATCTCACTGACAGATCTTCCTGCACAGAGAGTTCGTGAGTACAATGGAACCTCAGTACTCGAACAGCTCCCTACACGAACAATTAGGTATTCGAATGCTTCATTTGGTAAAACAAACTGCTCGGTAGTCAACCATTTGCTTGGCACTCGACCAAACAAACACGACCTACCACAACTTTGCTGTAAACTATTTTGTGTTTCTTATATTACAGCCTCTCCTCACTTAACAACATAGTTCCATTCCTAAGACCACATCGGTAAATGAATTCATCGCTAAGTGAGGAGCATACTTTAATGGTAGTGGGTTTGTGTCAACCATCTTTGATATTGTTTTAACCCTTTGACTGTCGAAACCCAAGATCCTGAAGTGTCTCCTGGTGTCAAAAAATATTTGAAAAAAAAAATTGATTTTTTCTTATGAAAATGTTAAGATTATTTTACTGATTGTTTAACCCCTTCAGGGTCCAAGGCCAAAATCTGAAGTGGTGCTCCAGTGTCCAAGAAATTTTGAAAAAAAAAAAAAATTATTTTTTCTTACAGAATTAAAGAGCATATTTTTGTGAAGGTAATAAGACAAAAAAAAAAATTCTGATCAGTACTTACCGAGATACAGTGCCAAGAAGTTTGTCAAAAATGATGTGGTGGCGGCAACATCGACGAATTCCACATACGCGCATTACATTATTTAGCGGTTTTTTAAGTTTTTTCTTTTCTTTTCCAATTTTTTTCTATTCCTACTAACATTTGGGGCCTGAGAGACCAATACTGTATATAATATACAGGTCTCCCTCAACATTCACGTTTTCAACTTTCACGGGCTTCACACATTCGCGAATTCCCAACCGCCAAATTCCCAGCCGCCAAATCATATTTAAGTTTCCCGCCACCTGCGAGTCCCTACTACCCTCCCTCCGACCCCCGCAACTGGCAGCCAGCCCTCCCACCACTCAGTGTGGTGAGTGTTTTGTTTGTTCATTATTTGCTATTAAACTACAGTATAAATAATGTAAACCCATTCATGACTGCATATTGGAATGGCTATTCGGACAGGTATTAGACGGTGACATCATGTGTTTACTCTTGAACACTGCAAAGAATTAAACATTTCTGCTACAGCTAATAATAACAATAGTAATAATAATAATAATAATAATAATAATAATAATAATAATATAATAATAATAATAATAATAATAAATATGATATAATTGAAGAAGGAAATTGTACAAAAATACGAGGGAGTGGTTGACACATCGTCAGTGTGACTGTGTTTATGCTGGAGTAAACATTAGTCTCCGTGCTCTTCCAAACATTTCACAATAATTCATTGTGTTTGGTGCTTGTAGATTGAGTGTGACTGGAGTGGTAGAGGCAGTGATTGAGGCAATGGTATTTAATAATATACATGTTATTAATAATATGTACTATTATTATTTATAACATGTTATTAAATACATACATGTTAATAATACATGTTATTAATAATAACAATAATAATAATAATAACTGACAGCCAGCCCTCCCACCCGCCACTCACTCAGTCAGTCTCCAGCCACTGTGCGAGTCGGTCATTGCTGTTTGTGTGGTGGTGAAAGTATGTCTCATGCCATGCAGTTACACTCCATATAATCATCTCCATTCAACTGTCATCAGTAACTGCATGTAATATCAATAGAGAAATAAAGAATTATAATTTAAATTTTTTTAATCATCACAAGTCATCAGAGTTCGTCTGCCTTACGAGTAGTGAGTGTTTTGTTTGTTCATTATTTATTAAACTACAGTATAAATAATGTCAACTCATTCATGACTGCTAATAATAATAATAATAATAATAATAATAATAATAATAATAATAATAATAATAATAATAATGATAATAATAATAAATACGAGGGTTGAAGCAGTGGGTGGTAGAGGCATCGTCAGTCAGTATGGCTTTGTTTATGCTGGAGTGAGTATTATCCTCTGCGCTCTTCCAAACATTTCACAATAATTCATTGTGTTTGGTGCTTGTTGATTGACTGTGACTGCTACATAATTAACCATGGGCCCAAATAAATTTTGGTAAGAAACTGAGAAGCACAAAGAATTGAAGAAAGAAATTACATAAAAATACGAGGCAGTGGTGGAGGCAGTACAATATTTTACGATGTTCTCAGGTACGTATTTTATGATTGTTCATGAGAACATAAGAAAGGAGGAACACTGCAGTAGACCTGTTGGCCCATACTATTCAGGTCCTTCACAAATCCAGCCCAATAACAGAATAAATGCTACCCAAGCAATAAGCTTTGAACATTCTATTTACTCGCATGCAAGACCCATTCAAATCCAACCACCTCTCACTTGTGTATTTATCCAACCTAAATGTGAAGCTACCCAAGGTTTTAGCTTTGATAGGACCTTGGTTAGCTTTAAAAAGAGATTGGACAAATATATGAGTGGGAGGAGCATGTACGTATATACATGTATATACATAGATTATTTCATTTTATTATTTTATTATATTTCCCT